GGAGAAGCTATAACTGTCTGACTGATTTTCTACCCCACTAGGATATCACACAAGCGATAAACACCCGATGACACAAAGTGCCACCATGTGGATGAGGATCGCCGTGGAGAGGTCCCAGAAACAGCGTTCAGACAATTGGCCATATTTATGGCCTGCCTATATTGCGGCACCTGGCAAAAACCAGGGTGGGGCTTCGAATAACGAGAACATAAAAAGGACGAAACTGCATAATTCCAATAGCTAGCTATAACTGTCTGACTGACTTTCTACCCCACCAGGACATCACACAAGCGATAAACACCCGATGACACAAAGTGCCACCATGTGGATGAGGATCGCCGTGGAGAGGTCCCAGAAACAGCGTTCAGACAATTGGCCATATTTATGGCCTGCCTATATTGCGGCACCTGGCAAAAACCAGGGTGGGGCTTCGAATAACGAGAACATAAAAAGGACGAAACTGCATAATTCCAATAGCTAGCTATAACTGTCTGACTGACTTTCTACCCCACCAGGACATCACACAAGCGATAAACACCCGATGACACAAAGTGCTACCATGCGGATCAGGATCACCGTGGAGAGGTCCCAGAAACCGCGTTCAGACAATTGGCCATATTGATGGCCTGCCTATATTGCTGCCCCTGACAAAAGCCAGAGTGGGGCTTCAAATAACAAAAAATTACGTTCTAAGAAGGACGTAATGAATATAAGGCAGCAATTAAGCTATAACTGTGATACTCATAACGACTAAGAAGATTGTAACACGCAGTCCAGAAAGGTAAGCATTAGAACAATCTGTGTCTTTTTTTTTTTTTTCAACACGCTATGCTCACATTTCCTCAAGCGTACCCTACTCAATCTACCAGTGTTGTTTATTTTCCCGCTGTAAAAGCTAAGACTTAACTTCACGTAGCAATTACTAAATTGAAAGTGAGTCATGAAGGAGTATATAGCATGTACAACACAGGGGATGTAATTTCCCTGATTTATCACAGTTGTTTGGGTAATAGCCCTTGACATTAGAAAGAGCCAGGCACTGCGCCAGATACAGGGCTCTAGAGTTATTAGGGTAAGGTTGCCATACTTCTGCTAGTGTTCAGATATAGCCATCAAATGAGACCGCGTCCACAGAATGGAGGAATTATGGCAACACTATATTAGAATTCAAAACTTATAAAGTCAACAAGATTAAGGAGATCAGAGAAATGTCTGGATTAATATCCGTATAAACTACAGTATAATTTGTAATTAATCCTGTCATCTCATTGTGAGAATTAATCCTGTCATCTCATTGTGAGATGCACTTTTTCTCTATTTTGAAGCCCCACCTTGGTTCTTGCCAGGGGCCGCAATATAGCCCGGCCATAAATATGGTCTAATCGCTGAACGCGGTTTCATGTGTGATCCTCATCCACATGGTAGCACTTTGTGTCATCGGGTGTTTATCGCTTGTGTAATGTCCTAGTGGGGTAAAAATCTACTACTACTACTTTCAACTGCAGTATCGATTCTCTTTCCCAGTAGGGGTCGCCAGTTGTAGTTCTTATAAAGCGCCACTCCGGCTGTTATCGGGACCCTAATAAAACCTAGCGTTTGAACGGGGTTTCTTGGACTTGTCCCTGGGGGATTCTCATCCAAATAGTGGCACTTTGTGTCACCATATGTGTATTGCTCGCTGTGCGGTCCTGGTAGGGTTGACCTTCATTAGTTTATTCATCCTCCACAATAAGACAAAAATAGGTGGATATACTGGAGACACTCTGTGATGAAATGAGCAAAGAATTACAAAACAGGCACTGAAATTGGAAACATACGGTCTGAACTAGATAGATAGATAGATAGATAGATAGATAGATAGATAGATAGATAGATAGATAGATAGATAGATAGATAGATAGATAGATAGATAGATAGATAGATAGATAGATAGATAGATAGATAGATAGATAGATAGATAGATAGATAGATAGATAGATAGATAGATAGATAGATAGATAGATAGATAGATAGATAGAGAGAGAGAGAGAGAGAGAGAGAGAGAGAGAGAGAGAGATAGATAGATAGATAGATAGATAGATAGATAGATAGATAGATAGATAGATAGATAGATAGATAGATAGATAGATAGATAGATAGATAGATAGATAGATAGATAGATAGATAGATAGATAGATAGATAGATAGATAGATAGATAGATAGATAGATAGATAGATAGATAGATAGATAGATAGATAGATAGATAGATAGATAGATAGATAGATAGATAGATATAGATAGATAGATAGATAGATAGATAGATAGATAGATAGATAGATAGATAGATAGATAGATAGATAGAAAGGACGTCCAAGGGAAACATTGAGAAGAACATAATTAAATTATTAAATGCTGGGCTGAACTCCATATCAGAAATGGAGAAAGTTGCATGCTAGAGGTCGCGCAGTCAAGGAATCGAATGGGAGCCCTGTGTGACGTCATACGGGACACAAATGATGATGATAATGATGATGATGATAAAGATGGTGATGATATTATTAGGGTACCAAGCTGATGTGTGTGGGGACTGATCTGGCACTAGTTACCACACAAAAAAATTTGCATCCTAATGTCATTACATGTAAGACTGTTTCTCTAACTCGTAACGTCAGCGTTTAAAGTGTCCCGATTTTCGCTTGAGCATAAAAATGGCCGGGAGTCGCCGTGGCGGATCGGCTAGACGCTTGCCGCGGATCAGAAGGTCGTGGGTTCGCTCCCTGGCGGAAACAGACTTTTTTCAAAAATGACTTTGGCTTCCAGGTCGACCCAGCCTTGAGTGGGTACCGGGTGTAGTCCCGAGAAAGTAAAGGCGGCCGGCGTGGTCTATAAAAATATAGGTCTAGCCCTATATGCCCTATACGCCTAAAGAATGGCCATAGTAGCGATCATTTTTGCCTCAGCTGCTACTATTTCTGTAACGACTTCTACAATTGTAACAACTATGACGATTATTGTTACGTCTGCTACCGCCACCACAATAGACGCTGCAACTGAAAGGATTTGTTGAAATGATTTAAAACATGCATTTTATTGTTGTTGTTCTTCGTTGTCTTTTTCATGAAACACAGCATCGACATAACATCATCATAATCATAATCAAATAATCGCAATACTACACAATAACCAAAACAACGGTACAAATAACATCACCAGTAGCACCATCATCGTCATCAATACAAACACCTTTAAAGTCATCATAAATAATTCACATCAGAATATCATCAAAAGCAAAAGAGAAGCACAAAAACATTATCATCCTTTGTCAGTATCATGTAAACCTTTCCCTGTAATCGTTTAAGAAAAACACCATCAAGAAAGCAAGGGTACAGACAACAATGTGTGAAAATGTGACCTCTGATGACTTCACATCCTGTAGGATTATAGGACATGCTTGGTTATTGCTACTTTTGTTAAGAGTAACAGCAGAGTGTCTGTGCGAGGCCTTCTCCAGAGAAGGCATTGGTCTGTGTGTGTGTGTAAAAGGAGCGAGGGAGGGGATGAAGGCATCAGAGGGGTTATGCTTAGCCCTGAAGGTTTGTGTGTGTATTTGTGTGTGTGTGTGTGTATCTGTTGGTGTGTGTGTGTGTGTGTGTGTGTGTGTGTGTGTGTGTGTCTTATACTGCATATGCCCGGCAATGAACCAATACTGTGCACGTAAAATTTAACTCTTGTAACAAGGCCAAAGTCTAGAAGTGGACGAACAATCAGAACTGTTCTGATAAAGTGTATAGCTAGTAAACGCAAAGAAGATGCTATGACTGCCTTGTTCGGTTCAAGGGTGAAGGTTCTTTAGAGCTCACTTGGAGATGATTATCCGAGCTACCTGGCTCCTACCTAGCGCAAAACTAGCCGCTCGTAGAAGAGGGGCGGAGATAGTTGGGGGCTGCATACAGTCTGCCTTAATGGAGCCGATTCCCTCAATTCTCAAACTTGCTTTCAACACTAATGCTTAGTGGCTTATTGTTTGAAAACCCCCACCTCGTCTCTCAACGACCAAACATTTCCAGTGCTGTATTGTCGCAACATCTGCCACCTTTGATAAGAAGGACTACGCGGTTTCAGAAGCCCCAGTTCTTCCACCCCGCCCTTCAAACACCCCCATCGTCGACGCCCGACTAGTTCACTGGTCTACTCATGGCTGACTCCGGCACTGGTCAGAGTGTATCTGGGTCATCAACTCTGCAACAATCCATTTCAGTGCTACTTGGTGGCCAAGAGCTCATGCCATGAATGTGGCACAAATTAACACAGACTACAATCTAACCAACAGCCCCCCCCCCCCTCCCCCTCTTTGTTGTCCTTCCTGGGAGGGTTGGGGGGAGGGGGTGATGATTGAGCATGGTCGAGTGTTAATCAGTGAACTTGGAACATCCTAAATATGACGTCGTTTAAGACACAATTTTTCTTTGACAATCAGATCTTGCGAAATATGTATGTATACCTGCTGTGTGTGTATGTGTTGTGTGTGTATGTATGTGTGTGTGTTTATAAACCCGCGCGTGCTGTGTGCACGCACGCCCACAATTGTTCGGGCGTGTGTCTATTATATAATTCTTAAAGTCATGCGATTTTTATATATTTAAAACCAAAGATTATCCACTCTGATGTTGATCAACCGATTTAGTTTCCGGTATTGATTGATTGCCACTTGATAGTTTCAGAACCGCGCCGTTTGATATTTTCGTCTGCTATTTTAAGAGTCTATGAGATGAAGTGCCTTGTAATGATACGTCTGTTTTAATCCACTCCTCGACCATAAGTTAGATTTTTTGTCCTTTAATCCAAATCCCTTTGTGTGTGTGTGTGTGTGTGTGTGTGTGTATGTGTGTGTGTGTGTGTGAAGAGGGTGTATGGGTTGCGTCGGTATGTACCACTCGCTATGGCATGTCTATCTTTGTTTAAAAGCCTATTTCTGTCTAATTTACATGTGCCATGGAATACATTTAGTTTTTAATTACATTTAAGCTTGAATTCTTTGACAATATGGATAATTGTCATAAATATTCATCTCTGACGAATCCAGCAACGAAGATGTGGACATTCCCCGCCTTCTGATGAGGCACTTTAGGAAGGAACGTCGAATATCTCTGAACAAGAACCAGACTAAGGGAGCAACACTTCCGGCGTTGTCACGTAGTAGAGTACTAACAATCAAAAATGTCCGGACCTCACTGCATTCATCGGCCCATATGGGGTCAAAGGTCACAATGGCTTTTGGCGTGTAGAAAATGATCAGTAGCAAAGCAAACGTCACGTGATCTAAGGGTGGAAGATAGGGGCAATCACCAGAGTCTGTGGGGTCAGAAACGTCATCGTTTAAAGTAACAAATTTCTGAAGCTTGTTGCTGCATCGCAGGACCAGGGCAAGAGAGCAACACAGAATGTTCAAGATCTGTGGAGTGAAGACGGTAACAGTCAGCAAGGCCTGGTGGTATTCTGTTGCTGGGAAAACAATATCTTCAGTTTCATTGGAGTCCCTGATAAAGCAAATCGTGAAGACGGCTGTCGTTATGGAAGTCCAGATGAGTATCATGAGAAGCAGGACGGATTTGCCTCGATAGTCTCTGGTGTATCTCACAGATTTGATACACAGAAGGAAATCGATGTTGATAAGGAAGCTTCCCCAGCAGATGAGCCCCATAGCGATGTATCTATTAAAGATTATGCAAATTTTCCACAGAAAATGTGTTACTGTCGCACTCAGCAGCCATCTTGTGGATAAAGTGTTGTTTACAAATGTCGACTGACAGATAAACACGAGGGAGATAGCAAACACCAGCCAATATTTCGGAGATTGGCGCACTTTGGTCAGTCTAAAGCCTGTCACTAGAAGGCAGATGTTAACGACCAGCGAGGTCACGGACAAAGCAATATAGATCGCTGCAATGGTTTCTGCATGAATCCAAAACTGGCGGTAGTCGCTGCACGAGACATTCATGTTTTCTGCGGTTTCCTGTCACTGCAGATGAAGTACAAACAGGTTCTTAAGTCAGAAATTACAATAAATATAACAAATCATCGAGGAGTCATACAAACTCGCACGCACACAAACTGCACACATGCATTTCTTTAATAGCCACTTTGTAAAGTATGTAAAAGATATTTACTAGCGAACAATGAAACCACCTACTGGCACCTCGTCAACACACCAAGATGTCAAGGGTGCTAGAACTGCACGATATGGCACCAGTCAAATTCGCTGCGTCAAAAAAAAAAAAAAAATTGTCATAAACCTAAAACAAATTCTTCATTTCATTCACGATATTAACGTGCAAAACTGGAAGTGAAATTGTTGGCCCATTTACCTGGCTGCCAACAGACAGTTTGCCATGACCGGCAGTTGTATACTGACTAAACTGCAAACGAAAGAGAGGCCGACCGTGCAAACAATGCACACAGAGAAAAACCAAAATCCCGAGCAATCTGTGGAAACGAGCGTTTTTCTGCAGCCGATACAGCACACTAACACTGCAAGCTAGCAGAGAATCAAACCGAGGTTATCAAAATGGAGATATGCAAATGAAGATGACGACGATATCAGACAAATATTTTTAATTGAACAGAGAGTGTTAGACATCACAATGTTTCGGCCATGTTGTCAGATCTTTTTAAAACGGGTACACAAATCCAGTCCTATTTAGCCTATCTGGGTAATAATTAACATTTGCCTAGTGTCCGTTATCATTTATAATTGCTTATACACGACCTCTCTTCAGTTACTATGAGATACTGGGGTTGAGACTAAAACATGTGTATCAAACACGCGATAAGCCGTTGTTCTTACACCGTGGTTTGGAGAAACAGAATAGGACAGACAAAATCCGCATATTATAAAATGAGGAATATTTTATCCAATATATCTTTGTAATTGAGAGTTAGAAAAAGAATTCTTGCTTGCTACATAGATCCAGTAGAGAATAGAGGAAGACAACGAGAGAAGATTGTTGACAGTCTTGTTGCATGGCATAGAGATGTGTCAGCACACGAACTGATACATGCTGCAGGAGATCACAGATTGTTTAGAGGCATGATCGCTCACGTCAGTCGGCAAGGCAGCTGATGATGATGATGATGATAGAGCTAAAAAAGAAATATATACTTTTTTTTATCATCGTCGTCGTCATCATCATCGTCTTCTTGTCTGCCCCTCCTTTTCTTTCTCTATTATTGTGCGGAAACATACAGATCACCCAAGTCCTAACAAGGCTTGACTGTATGGGACAGACAATCTCGTAGATACTTGCCTCTGACCAAACACAAAGTACCATTTCCGTAAAAGCCAGGTTCACAATTCTTCGCCTGTCTCCCAATGCAGGAACCAAAGTATTTCATTCGCCCATCCAGGAAGAGGCATGCCGATTATTGGAACGTCAGTCAGGTATGGTTCCCGATATGTGAAGAAGTAGCGCAACAAACTTGTGCCCAAAAGTCTAGGTATATATAAGTTCGGGTATTGGATCTCTGCGACCCATAATGTGTGACAGGAGAGGTAGTTCACCAGAATCAAAGACTCAATGAGAGTTTCTGACAGAACTTGTAAGTCAAGGATTACTAATAATTCATAGATTTTTTTTTTCTATTTTCTTCTTTATACTCGGACGCTTTTGTTAAAATGTCTAATAGTGGCTTTGGTAAGTTTCAGATCCAGTTTAGGACAACAAAGTGAGCACATTAAAGCTGGAGCTTATTTAATAGGTGAAAAGATTTATGGAAAAATAGACAAGACAGACAACAAGAGAGAATCAAAGAACATTCTTTTGTCATGGCAAAGAAAGGTGTGTCATCAATTATCACAAGATATGGACATCGTCATCTGTGCAACAGGATCGCTCAAAGCAGATATGGACATCGTTATCATGGCAACAGGATCGCTCAAAGCAGACGCGCAAAGCTATGGAGATGATGAGATGCACGCCCATGACATTTCCGAAATTTTGTTCATGAATTACCACGATGTTGAAGTTTACATCAATTCTTGTTAGTTAGACAGGACTGCCCCCCCCCCCCTTTTCCTTCCTCCTCCCCCAGTCAACTGACTATTACAACAACTCAGAGATATAAACAATGCACATGATCTATATTGCTGCTAGTCTGCGACTTTTCTGCTCTGCCTTTTTCTTGTTGTTGCATTTCTTCATTTATCTGTCCACAGTCTATCTCCAGGTTTCCTTAGGTTGTCCACGTCTCCTGTTTCCATCTGCAGTCGATCGAAGAGCTGTCCTTGCCAAAGTGTCACAAGACATCCTGCAAAAATGTCCTAACCCTCTCAACTTCTTCCTGTGATAATGTTTGCCAGGAAGACCATTTTGTTTTCCTCCTCAGTTCCTCTTCAGTTTTCTGTCTGTGAAAGCTGTTGACAGTCATCATATTAAAGTTGACAGAGCCTATTTGCTGTTTACAAAATGTCAAAATTCAAATAAAACGTCTAATTAGTCGTTCTACCCAATTTTTTCAAAACAGATACTTACCTAAAAAGAAACTGGAAGACAGTCATCTACACATGTTGTTACTCTGTACTCTCTGTCTCTCTCTCGTTTGACAACATTGATGGGATCCGGTACAATAGGTTCTTCTTTGTTGACATGTAACTGACTGACTGACCTAATGAACGAAGCTGTTTGTTATTGTTTGGACAGAAATCGATCAGCAATATCTCCTGTTTCAAAAGTGTGACAGAGGTCACTCCTGTGTCACTTGATACGAGCCAGATAGATAATCTGATACGGTGCGACTGTCATAAAAGCTAGATAACCTAATATCAAATCACATGCCACAACTCCCGGCGAACCCTAAGCCACTTCAGCTGGCTCAATGAGGAAGACCTACGTGTTCATTTATTTAAACGCAGTATGCTTTTGTTACTAAAATCTGAAAATTTGGGGTGAAGTGGGGGGTGTAAAATTATTACTATTCCCCCCCCCCCCCCCCCAATTAAAACATAAACGCAAAATTACAACACGGAAAATGAGATGTACAATAAACTTATCACGCAAATAAAAAGTAGAAAGAGTGTTAGTGTCTCATTATCACAAACACAAACGACAAAAGAGCGTTGATGCTACAGAACCTTCATCAGCACATTAAATCAATTAATAAAAATACACGTGTGAGTGAGTGCTAACATATGCTTTAAATGCATTGTCCAATATTATTAACATTTAGCAACGTGAAGGACACCAAGGCAGACTCTAAACTAGGATATTTGGCATCGGGAAGGACACCAAGGCAGACTCTAAACCAGGATATTTGGCATCGGGAAGGACACCAAGGCAGACTCTAAACTAGGATATTTGGCATCGGGAAGGACACCAAGGCAGACTCTAAACTAGGATATTTGGCATCGGGAAGGACACCAAGGCAGACTCTAAACCAGGATATTTAGCACCGTGGAGGACACCAAGGCAGACTCTAAACCAGGATATTTAGCACCGTGGAGGACACCAAGGCAGACTCTAAACCAGGATATTTAGCACCGTGGAGGACACCAAGGCAGACTCTAAACCAGGATGTTTAGCACCATGAAGTACACCAAAACAGACTCTAAACCAGGATATTTAGCAACGGGAAGGACACCAAGGCAAACTCTAAACCAGGATATTTAGCAACGGGAAGGACACCAAGGCAAACTCTAAACCAGGATATTTAGCACGGGAAGGACACCAAGCTTGAGCAGAGACTTAGAGGTCTGGTAGAGCCACAGCTGGACGAGGCCCAATGCGGCTTCAGAGCAAACCGAAGTATTCAAGACCTTATCTTCACACTGAGACAGATGAGTGAAAAAGCCCTGGAATATAAGAGTGAGATGCACTTATGTTTTTTGGATCTGGAAAAGGCATTTGACAAGGTGCCCTGGAACAAGCTCTGGGACTGCTTGGCAGGGAAAAGCATCCAAGCACCCCTGATCAGTGCAATACAGTTTCTACAAAAAGTGCAGAAATTATGTAAGAACAGCTGACAAAAAGTCAGAAGAATTTAAGATCACCAGCGGTGTTAGACAAGATGATATTCTCTCCCCTTACCTCTTCATTCTTATGATGGATGATGTCATCAACACCTGTAAGGAGAAGACAAAGAAGTACTCTGTAGGGTACTGGAAGATTAGACCAATCTGTATATCAGAGCTGGCTTTTGCAGACGATATGGCCCTGATAGCTAAATCAGAGGCACACCTTCAGTCCAACTTACTTGTCTGGAAGGAAGAGCTTGAAAAGAAAGGGATGACCATCAGTGTCTCCAAAACTAAAACCACGGTGATCTCAAGAGAGGAGAAGAAACACCAGATCATGATGGGACAGTATGCGTTGGAGCAGGTTAACCAGTTCAAATACCTTGAAGTTGTATTAGACCAAAATGGAGGCATTAAGAATGAGCTGGCTACACGAAAAGCAGCTGCTGGGAGACTCTTCCAGGCCATAAACCGAGGGTTTCTTAGCAAAAGAGAAATTGGCAAGAGGACGAAAATGGCTGTTTACCGCTCTACCTATGTACCAGTCCTGACCTATGGGTGTGAGTCATGGGCAATGACAACAGCTCACAGAAGCCAGCTGCAGGCCTCGGAAATGAGATGCCTGAGAAAGGTGGTCCAAGTGACAAGAAGGGACAAAGTCCGCAATCAGACAATACGTCAAGATCTTGATACTCAGCCCTTACTAACCCGAGTAGATCAGTCACAGTTACGATGGTTTGGACATGTATGCAGAATGGGAGAAAATCGGCCACCATGGCAAGCATGGGAGGCTAAGAACCAGGGAAGCAGACCTCCGGGACGACCCAGGGTGCGCTGGGAAGACAACATCTGACAGTCCCTAACTGACAGAGGACTGGAATGGAACAAAGCCAGAAAGAAAACTGCTGATAGAGACGTCTGGCGAGCTCTCTGGCAAACCTCTACACCCCAATGTAGAAGAGGAGCGACTAAGTAAGTAAGTAAGTAAGGAC